GTGGGGGTAGGGGTGGCGGTAGGGGTATGGGGTAGGGGTGGGGGCCTGAAAATGGGGGTAGGGGTGGGGTTAGGGCTTGGGGTAGTGGTGGGGCTAGGGTTGGGGTTTGGGGTTTGGGGGAACAGGCGGGAGATTGGCGAGGTTGCAGGAGGGGCAGCGAGGTTGCAGCGAGATGCAGGGATTGCAGCGAGGTTGCAGCGAGGTTGCAGCGAGGTTGCAGCGAAATTGCGGGGAGATCGCGGGGAGATCGCACCGGGCTCGACACGCGCGTGGGTGCGAGAGCGACGAAAAGCTCGAGCACCTCTCGCGCGCGCCGCACCAGCAGCCGCGCGCCGCGCCCCCGCACCAGCGCCGCCGCGGCGAGGCAGCAGCGGCAGAGCCTACGTGCTGAAGACGCCAACCTCAGGGCGGGGAGGACGGTCTTGTGCAGCGTGGTCAGAGCACTGCGTGAATACGACTACAGAGAACACCGTGGAACGCGGCGGAAGGCAGCGGAGTACGTGCCTCTAGAGTGCTGGCTGGGAGACATGGATCCGTAGTCAGAGTCTAGGCGTTAGAGCCGTGCGACGGCGAGCGCGCACTCGGACACGCGGCCCCGCGGCAGCCGCAGCGCCTACGCGGTGCAGCCGGCTCACATAAACGCACAACCCCGGGCCCGAAATCGCAGAGAGACAGTCACGCAACACGGGGTCCCAGGGAAGGCGAGCAAAACCCTTATCGCGCGCGCTAGACGCCGACTCGGAGGCTGCACCGCTCACACTAGAGTCCGTCCTCGCCTTCGCCTTCCTGGGACCCAGCGCTGCCTTCGGACTGCCGTCGCTGTCTCTCTCCCTTCTCGACGGCCTGTGCTTGTGCGTCTTTGGTCCCGGGGGGTGTGTCTTTGCGTGAAGACGGTCTCGTGCAGCAGGCTCTCAGAGCAGCGCGTGAGTACGAGGGGGTGCGAGTACAGTTGAAGGCGGCTGACTACGGCCCGAGCACAGCGGAGTGCGTGTCCTCTCGAGCGGGGCGCTACTTGGGAGAGACAAGACTACGCGTTCCGTCTTCTAGAGTCCGCAGCACCTCCGCCAACTCGTCGTCCTGGTCGGTGCCTCCCCCTCGCGCCGCCTCGCCGCCCTCGTCCGCGTCGGCGCCGATCTCGCGCGAGCGGGAGGGCGGGGAGAGCAGCGCCACGCGCGCCTCCGCCAGTAGCCGGTCTGGGTTCGGGTACCGTGGGGGTAAGGGAGGGTGGGCTCTTGTACCGTGGGGTAGGGGAGGGTGGGTTAAGGTACCGTGGGGTAGGGGAGGGTGGGTTCGGGTACCATGGGGTAGGGGAGGGTGGGCTTCGGGTACCGTGGGGTAAGGGAGGGTGGGTTCGGGTACCGTGGGGTAGGGGGAGGGTGGGTTCGGGTACCGTGGGGTAGGGGAGGGTGGGCTTCGGGTACCGGCTAGCTGGCCCGCCGCCGCCTCCAGCGCCGCCTCCGCCGCCGAGGCGAGGCTGCGTGGCGGTGGGGAGGGGAGGAGACCCTCGCGCGCAAAGGCAGCCTCGACAGCCCGCAGCTCCGCCGCCGCCGCCGCCACCGCCGCCTCCAAGCCCGCAGCCGCCCGCGCGCCCAGCGCCGCAGGGGAGGCTGCGACCGCCCCCGCC